GATATGTAGCGAAGGTATTGAAACCTGTAAAAATATATGTTATTAGTGTCAGAATTAGAAAAGTAGTTGTTGATTCAGGTAAGCATCTGTAATGTTTAAAAAATTTAATTGTTAAAGAGTGACCACTAATAATAAGTTATTTTTACTAACCTTGTCTAACTTCAACAATATAATATACAAGTTGTTTTTAGAAAGAGTTGCCAGTAATTATATTTTTTTTTCTTTTTTGTATACTAACCTTATCGAACTCGATGTTGAGCATATGTTTTCTGACTACACTATGGGAGACCAATTTGCTTTTTGCTGGGTCACTACCATTCCGAACAAATTCCTCAAAGTCATCATTGTAGCTGTCCAAGGTCCTTTTAGAACAATTTCCTGTGCCATCTTTAATTCCTTGCTGAGTTATCAAGCAGTATATACAGGAATACTTGCCTTTAAAAATGTACAGTATATTACAATATTTAAGAATTAAAATATTTGTTATTCCTATGTTCTATTTATAAATAATAATTATTATTACCTTGTAAAATACAAATGAAATAATTATTACCGTTAGATCCAATGAGTCCATAAACACGAGACAAAAACTCATAATCCCCGAAGAAAAACAATCGTAATGTGTGACTCCTGGAAAAATAATTTTTAATTGTAAAATTTAAACGTAATTATACACTATTGATAAAATTTAAGTAAGGTAATGTTTTGTTTTCAATTTTCAAATCATAAAAATAGATAAGCTTACTTGTTTGTCCTTTCTGATTTCCACACACTCCCTTCTATATCCATAACTTCATCCATAATAAGGGCCAGACCTTTTTGAATAGATGTGTATAAGAGACAGCAATATAATAGAGGGATGCCATTATTGTCATAATTACATGTTCCAGTGAATTTGGGTTGGGAAGACAGCACAATTGAATTTCAAACTTTGTTGTGTCCCCACCCTTGTCGCCACCAAACTTTATCAAAATATCCCCTTCACTGAAACTAAGCAAGTTTTCATCAGACCTAAAATAAAAAAAGTGATTTAATAATATTAATTACTACACTGTAGAGATTGAGTGTGTATTAGGTTGAAAAATAATGCAAAATTTGAATGA